CGTCCACACACTTCTCCTGATGTGAGATATATATTTTTTTTTTAAAAGAAGTAAAATTTTAAAAAATGTGGTAAAATTTTTGTCAAGGGCACCAAGGCCAAAATTATAAATATATATTGTGAATATTTTGGTTACTAGTGGCTGAACTATATCAGAGCACAATGAACAGCCAAGCACAAACTTTACGCAACAACACAACGTAACACGCCGCTCACACCCAGGCCCAACAGCGTCAGCAAAACTACAAGAAGATAAGAGGCTCTGGTCACAACATGAACACACGACATCAGCGCCGCTCCTACAGCACACGACAGAACAACCACCGCACCCACCAGCTCATTTACGCACTATTTAACTATAAACACTATTTCTCTGTGACGCTCCATCTTCAGATTTGCCGCAAATTAATGAAAACCAGCCTCTTACCTTCTCCAGAGACTGAAGCAGAGTGTTTCCTCTATCCACTGTCCCACTGGTTCTGTCTCCAAAAGTGTATTGTCCAATATGAAGAGATGAAACTGGTCCAAATCCCGGTCCAGTCAGGTCCGTGACGCGAGGTCCGGGAGCTGAGTGCACGAGCTGGTTGTAAAACTAAAACTTTCACCAGGTAGATTTATGCCTCTGCGCTACGCCCAGGTCAAACTTTTACACCCAGAAACGAGCGGGCAAAGGCGGATAGACTTTATCCTCTGCCTGGCCCCGGCGGCGGCAGCGAGAGCTCCGGCCTGGTGGCAACTGTCTCGGTCCCGGCGGCGGGTCTGTCAGTGTCTTTGACTCTGTCCCCACGAGTTCCTGTGTGGAGCTTTAGGCTGAAGTAGCAACTGCCGCTAATCGTGAAGCTGCTACTAGTTGACGCAGCAGGTTGACGTGACGTGAGTGACAGAACAGTTGTCCAATCAGATTACACTAAATAAACAGAGACTGTGATGTCATTGGTCTGGGCGCTAAAGTTTGTGCCCTCAGCCCAAAGTGAAATGCGCCAATCAAAATCATTTTTAAATAGTCATAATAATGGCCTGTGCTGGGGGGTGGGGCACCAGTGGCCGCTCGGGGGAGCACGGCCCTCAAACCTTGCCGCCGACACCGTGCCTCTTATGTTAGCAACAAAAAAGACAGTACTCATACTGGCACAGTGTTTCCCAAACTTTTTTTTTTTTTTGGGGAGCCATATTTTAAAAGTCACAAACCTTCATGATCCAAGTCAATAGACATTATACGTAAATCACAAAATAAAGTTGGATTTGAACTTTTTTTCTTTCTTCTTTTTTTTTTTTTTTTTTTTTAGAAATTTGGAACATTATTGAACATTAATGAGGATATTTTATTGTTGACAGAGTGATCGTGTCTCTCTGAACAGTTAGTATTACTCAAGTTTTAAACAATGAAAAACAGTAATCATTCATTGAAGCAGCAACAAAAGGATTCATAAGTGGCCTGTTTTGGACATTAAATGTAGCCCTGTATATTGCAGACCTACATGCAGATCATGGCGACCCAAAAACATTTCTTGTGACTCACCTGAGGGTCGCGACCCAGTCTTTGGGACACAGTGTACTAGCATACCTACAGTCTCTAGGTAATGTGGTTGACTATATGGCCCATGAACTCAAAAACATTGTCATCTTGCTTTTGGATGACTTTCTCCATTATATACACTATCCTCCTTCTTCTTTACATTTTAGATAATAAAATAAAAAAAATGTTCTATCCCCAACCTTTTCTGATGTAGGGCCGTGGAAAAACGCACATGTCTCACCATTGACCAAGAGCTATAGAATAACACTTGTCAACCACTTGCTGTCTCACATTAACGCGGATTTCACAAACGCAAACACGGACATGCACTGTCACACAAATTTATACATTATCTGTGAGAAAGCAAACTTCTGTGTCTCTGCCAGTGTCCAGACAGCTGTATCGAGCCGGTTCCGACTCATAGAAGACACTGTCCATACCAAGGACTTGACTTTTGACCCCTGGGCTTTCAGCACAGTGCCGTCTTCAGGCGGAGGAGCATTCCAGTCTTCTCATCTCACTTTTGGAGGACTCTCGTGTTTTGTTGAGAACATAACAACATAAAGTGTGCGTGGAGCGGGGAGAGCGGAGGAGATCTTAATGGAGATAGATAGAGTGGGAATGAGACACAAAGTAGCATGTAGTTTATGTTAGTTTGGGGCTAATTGAAAACATCGTTCGGGAGAATACTGTGCAGGTCCGCGCAGGAGTGGAAGTGAATCATTTGGGAAACGCGTTTGAAGAGAAATATTTTAGTATGACTTCATGACCAAGAACATCCACTACCACGAGCAGAAACATTTTAATGAAGTGCTGTACCTGATTTTTACTTTTTGCCTTGTATTTATTCAATTATAGCTAAAAAAAACACAAATTCTTAACATGTGCAGGCTTGCTTCTCCATAAATCTGACTTGTCTCCATTGTGATAACCAAATTTATTCCCATACTGTGGAATAATCGAGGCAAAACAGTAATATCTCCATGGTGACAAGCAAGTGGCGGACCCTCTATGAGAAAAGTTACACAGTGCACCTTTAAACTTTATTCACCTTATATGCCTTATTCATTCGGGCATCCTAAGTATTCACCACAATGACTTTATAAGCACTTTTCAGAACTTTTCAGAAGCAACAACAACTAGCATGCTAACCTGGCACTTCCTGATTACCAATAAAACACTCGGATGCGGACGGAACACAGCGGGCTTCTTTTGACACATTTTTCTCACAAACACAAGCAGGAATTGGCGAGAAACCAAATGGCGTGCATGTCCTGTATCTAATTAAAAAGATTTTATATTGATCATGAACAATATTTGTAGCCATAATTGCTTTTTGTAATTAGGGTCATTTTCTGCTGATTTGCTTCCTCATTTGACAAAGTTGTGCATGTGTTTTCATGTTTTTAATTAAGTCAATACGGAGGACGTGTGGAAACGCTCAAACTGCCAAAATCTGGAAATTAGTTTAAATAAGTTGATCAATTTAGGTCTACTAAACACAAGCAAATGTTGTTACTTATTGCACAGGACAAGTGAATGGCTCATGGTGACGACTACCACTTAAATCAGTCCATTTTTCCCAATTGCAAGAAGTTGAAACTTTTAGCACCTATAAATCTATAAAGAAGAATGCAGCTGGAAGTTGTATGTGTCCTGGTTTAGTCCTGGTTTAATCCTGGTCTAGGCCCAGTCTAGTTCTGGTATAGTCCTGGTTTAATCCTGGTCTAGGCCCAGTCTAGTTCTGGTATAGTCCTGGTTTAAGTACTGCTTTAGTCTTGGCCTATAGTCCTGGTTAAACCATGGTCTATTGTCCTGGATCAGTCAGGGTTTAGTCCTGGTCTCGTCCCAGTCTAGTTCTGGTGTAATCCTGGTCTAGACTTGGATTAATCTTGGTTTAGTCTGGTTTAGTCCTTGTCTATATTCCTGGTTAAGACCTGGTTTATAGTCCTATATCAGTCTTGGTTTAGTCCTGTTTTAGTCCTGTTTTAGTCCTAGTCAAGTCCCAGTCTACTTCTGGTGTAATCCTGGTTTAGTCTTGGTTTAGTCCTGGTCTATAGTCCTGGTTAAGACCTGGTCTATACGTAGGCCCATATCAGTCCTGGTTTAGTCCTGGATTAGTCTTGGTTTATTGCTGGGCTATAGTCCTGGATCAAGCAGGGTTTAGCCCTGTTTTAGTCCTGGTCTACTCCCAGTCTAGTTCTGGTTTATTCCTGTTTTTTTTTTTCTTGGCTTAGTCCTGGTTTAGTCCTGGTTTAGTTCTGGTCTGTAGTTCTGGTTAAGACCTGGCGGAGTCCTATATCATCCTGGTATATCATCCAGTCTAGTTCTGGTTTACTCCTGGTCTAGTCCTGCCTAGTTCTAGATTAGTCTTGGTCTATAATCTTGGTCTATAGTCCTGGTCTCCAGTTCTGGATCAGTCAGGCTTTTGTCCTGGTCTAGTCCCAGTCTAATCCTGGTTTAGTCCTCTCTAGTTCTGGTTTAGTCTTGGTCTATAATTCTTGTTAACTCTTGGTCTATAGTTCTGGATCAATCAGGGTTTTGTCCTGTTTTAGTCCCGGTCTAGTCCCAGTCTAATCCTGTTTCAGTCCTGTCTAGTTTTGGATTAATCTTGGTCTATAGTCCTGGTTAAATCCTGGTCTCCAGTTTTGGATCAGTCAGGGTTTAGTCCTGTTTTAGTCCTGGTCTAGTCCCAGTCTCGTTCTGATTAAGTCTCGGTTAAGTCCTGGTTTATTCTCTGAACAAAATCTTACACATTATCCTCATACAAAGCCACAATCCACATCTCCAAAACGGCACATCTGCACCTGCCATTGCGTTTTAACCGAGCGAGATGTCCAAGTCCCACATAAATTACTCCGACACTTTTGTTGAGTCCGGTGACAGGCCAACAGCAGGTCGCGCACATGGGGTTTTGAAAGAGGATCCTCGGACTCCGCAGCACCGGGGTCTGTTCTGGCTAAACCCCTCTAACTACGCACACACATTCAAACACACACATTCCTCGGCTCGGTGAGGGGCAGGCTTTCAGTGTACCGCTGCTTCTGGACGCTCTATCTCTCCCCTTCCTCTCTCACTCTCTCTTTCTCACTCTCTCCGGTCGTTAACTCAAAGCGGAGGAGGACGAGAAGAAATGCACAGAGACCAGGGGAGGTCTGACGTTACAACACGCGCAACAGGCAGCAGCCGAAGCGAAGGACTGCGAAACTAAAGATGAGAACTGAAGCTGGATTTTAATTATTTCGGTGCAGAAACTTCAACAGCTGCTTTCAAATTTTAAAGACATCTGGAAGTTTATTTCTTTGCAAGAGCCAAATGTGAAGTGGTTACAAATGGCTGCAAGATTTGGACACTGGAATTTGCTTGTAAGGATGTTGAAACCAATGGACTTTTTTGCAGTTCCCTGATTTTGGCAAACTATTTTCAACAAAACAAAACTTCTAAAAGACTTTGAATTGCGCTGAAACTCCTCAATTTTTGCGATAATGTTGTGGTACAAATTAAGTTGTAACTTGGTGTCACTTGCAGCTGTCTTGGTGGTTGCAGGCTGCATAGGAGGGGACCAGCGGAGAGGGGCGGACGGCGCAGTCAGTAGCACAGGTGGCAGTAGTAGTAGTAGTAGTAGTAGTAGTAGTAGTAATAGCGGAAGCAATTACAGCAATAGACGCTTCCACAAGATTCAACACGGACAGTGCACCTACACGTTCATTTTACCGGAGACTGAAGGATCGTGCCGGGATATGAGGTCTAGTAGCGGTAGTAGTAGTAGTAGTAGCAGCAGTAGTAGTAGTAGTAGTCCGCAGTACAATACGAACTCACTCCAGAGAGACGCTCCTCCAGAACCGGAGTTTCCAAATCAGAAGATCCAACAACTCGAGCATATCATGGCAAACTATACCCAGTGGCTCCAAAAGGTAAGGAAAGACAATTGAACTTCGCTCTTCTTAATTCTTAAATAATTAATAGCAATTATTATTATTTTATTCTTATTTTTATTTATTTTTTTATCATAAAGATTCTGATAAATTCAATACTTGCACGTGGATAAAACTGAACAATTTGACGTGGATGAAAATTGATCTATAGCTATCTTGATTCCGATGATTCTATCTATTCTCCTACTGTTTTCGAACGTTGCAACACTGTAATTTCGCCATTGTGGCACCAATATTTAATTTTATAGATTCAAAGATTCTGTGAATGAACAAATATATTGAATGTACATATTAAAGGTCTTATATTACACAATTATAATGTTACCTGCTCAAAAACATACCTGGAGTTGTGTTTTGTTTGAATTCATATTATTAGTCTGTCTGCATGTCCAAAACTCAAAATGTGTTCCAACTTGTGATGTCATGCAGTGGTAGTTTTCACGTTAACAGCTACTTTTAACCTTTTGCTGAGTGGAGATTGGAAATTCCAGGGATTGTGGTGAAGATGTACGGAAACAACATTATAACATAGATCGGAAAATAGTGTATGAGCTCTTTAAGAATGAACTTTTTTGACTTAATATTTGTTCAGGTTTCGATTGCGGGATAGGGCCAGTGTCTCGACATCACTTCATCTGGCTGCTTCTCATTTAGACGTTTCTTCATTCACTGCATTTTTTCAAACTGATACACCTTTCTCAGCCTCTCATAAAAATCTTTAAGAACTTTTGCCTGGGACGGTAATTGCCATTATGCGGTTTGCTGAAAAAGTCTTCGCCTGAAATCTGTGCTGCGTGTTTGAAGTGGTCTTGAGTATTTATTGAGATGTTTGTGTGTGCGTGGGTGTTTGGGCTTCTCTGATTCAATTTGTTTGTTACTCAACTAAACTACACCAGCTTGGTCTGAAAGAGGCTCTCAACTTTCGCTTGTTTTGACCCACAATTTGCATTTTTGGAACCAGTTTAATTTGAGTCATGGGCTTTTCCTTCTCGGGTTGACACCGATACTGATCTATACTCGCTATTTGGAAGTTGTGTGTTTTAATTTGGTTTTGCGCCAGATGCCCTCCCCCCCCATACTCTTTTTCAAGCTTGGAAGTCGGCAATTGTTTTTTTGGGTTTTTTTTTTGTTTTGTTTTTTTAACTATAGCAACATTTAATCCTGGTTTTGTCCTGTTTTTTTCCTGGTTCAGTCCTGGTGTAGTCCTGGTTTAGTCCTGGTGTAGTCCTGGTTTAGTCCTGGTTTAGTCCTGGTTTAGTTCTGGTTCAGTCTTGGTTTAGTCCTGGTTTAGTCCTGGTTTAGTCCTGGTTTAATCCTGGTTTAGTCCTGGTGTAGACCTGGTTTAGTCCTGGTTTAGTCCTGGTTTAGTCCTGGTTCAGTCCTGGTTTAGTCCTGGTTTAGTCCTGGTTCAGTCCTGATGTAGTCTTGGTTTAGTCCTGGTGTAGTCCTTGTTCAGTCCTGGTTTAATCCTGGTTTAGTCCTGGTTCAGTCCTGCTGTAGTCCTGGTTTAGTCCTGGTGTAGTCCTGGTTTAGTCCTTGTTTAGTCCTGATGTAGTCTTGGTTTAGTCCTGGTGTAGTCCTTGTTCAGTCCTGGTTTAATCCTGGTTTAGTCCTGGTTCAGTCCTGCTGTAGTCGTGGTTTAGTCCTTGTTTAGTCCTGGCGTAATCCTGGTGTAGTCCTGCTGTAGTCCTGATGTAGTCTTGGTTTAGTCCTGATGTAGTCTTGGTTCAGTCCTAATGTAGTCCTGGTTCAGTCCTGGTTTCAGTCCTGGTTTGGTCCTGGTTTAGTCCTGATTCAGTCCTGGTTTAGTCATGTTTAAATCCTGGTTTAGTCCAAGTTCGGGGTTGTGTTTAGTCAGGTTTAATCCTGGTATAGTAGATTAGTATTGGTTTAGTCCTGGTTTACTTATAGATCCCTGTTTAGGCCTTGTTTAGTTCTGGTTTAGTAATATTAAGTCCTGGTTTAGTCCTGGTTTAGTCCTAATTTAGTCCCGGTTCAGTCCTGGTTCAGTCCATGTTAAAGGTGCACTGTGTAACTTTCACGGGGAGGGTCTACCACCTGCTTGTCTCTGTGATGACATTACTTTTAGTCCATGTGAAATGCTGGTATAATCTTAGTTTAGTTCTGGTTTAATCCTGGTCCAGTGCCAGTTCAGTCCTGGTTTAGTCCCAGTTTAGTCCTCAAAACAAGTCAAGCAGGTGTTCTCAAGTACATTACAGTCTAGTCCTGGTTTAGTCCTGATTTTATCCTGGTGTAATCCTGGTTTAGTCCTGGTTTAGCCCTGGTTTAGTCCTGGTCCTGTGCCAGTTTAGTCCTGGTTTAGTCCTGATTTAGTCCTGGTTCAGTGCCATCTTAGTCCTGATTCAGTCCCAGTTTAGTCCTGCATTAATCCTGGTTCAATCCATGTTAAGTCCTAGTTAAGTCCATGTTGAATCCTGGTTTAATCCTGGTTTAGTCCTGATTTAGTCCTGGTCCAGTCCCAGTTTAGTCCTACTTTAGTCCTGGTTCACTCCATGTTAACCCCTGGATTAGTCCATATGAAATCCTGGTATAATCCTGGTGTAGTCCTGGTTTAGTCCTGGTTTAGTCCTGGTCCAGTGCCAATTCAGTCCTGGTTTAGTCCTCAACACAAGTCAAGCAGGTGTTCCAAGTTAAAATGCAATTTCAAAACCGTATTGTATTACTGCTAATACATTGTGGTTATTTGACAAGACTCGAAGCTGACAATTTGGTGAAAGAGGTCTTGGATTGCACTGTACCTTAAATGTTTTTCTTTTGAATCAGGAGCCAAAAATATGAAAATGTTTATAATAATTCTTCATTGTTGTTATGTAACCCCACACTTTTACCTCACTGAACATTTTGTGCTATGAGACTCCGTAGCCTCCCTGAAGAGATAGCGTTGCTCTTGTATGTGTTAACACTTGCCCAGAGGTGCTCGTGGTAATAATAATATACATTTTATTTATAAGGGCTTTTCCAAACACCCACAGTACTCAGTTACATTCTCTTTCAAGTATGGTTAGAACTTTCTAATAAAACTGTGCCTATAGGAGCAATTTCCTGACAGCATGCTTAGTTACTGCTATTTGAGATTTTACAGTGCACTACTTGAGTAAAACATTTTACAGTGTAACAGTACTACTTGAGTAATATATTTTACAGTGTAACAGTACTACTTGAGTAATTGATTTTACAGTGTTGCAGTACTACTTGAGTAATACATTTTACAGTGTAACAGTACTACTTGAGTAACTGATTTTAGAGTGTAACAGTACTACTTGAGTAATACATTTTACAGAGTAGCAGTACTACTTGAGTAATATATTTTGTAATGTAACAGTATTACTTGAGTAATTGATTTTACAGTGTAACAGTGCTATTTGAGTAATATAAGTTACAATGTAACAGTACTACTTGAGTAAATGTTTTGGTTCCTTCCCGCACTATGAGTATGTACAAGTACCACAGCTTTATCTTGCAATACAAAGTTATTTCTCACTCCTTCAAATATGATTTAATTTTAGTTTATTTTATTTTTTTATTTATTTATTTATTTTTTTATACTATGAACCAGATATCATGTGTTCTTAATAAAGATTGAATTGAATTGAATTGAATTAACATATTTTTTGTCCTTTACAAACACCAGATTTTACAATTACTTTTACTCCAGTAATTTCTTGTACCCCCACTTTGTACTTCTACTTGAGTAATATTACTTTCAGGTAGTGGTACTCTTAATTTTTGTCAGTCACGTCTGTCTGAACTTGCCTTAGTTTTATCCTGATTTAGTCACGGTCTAGTCCAGGCTTAGTTCAGGGTTTAGTCCAAGTTTAGTCCTAATTCTGTGTCCAATTTTTAACCCTTGAGCCTTGTGATGTCATGCGGTAATGCAATAAGTGCTCCACTGTGTTTTTAAACTCCATAACATTTGGATGATTTCAGCCCTGGAACTGACTCACAAGGTGGAACAGATCATTTTGAGTTTTAAGAAGTAGACAGACTAACAATAAAGGGTTACTCAAACATGTGTGAATGAAACAAAACACAACCCCGGATATGTTTTTGATGAGGTTAACATCTCCGGAATCTAACATGGAGTCAGTTTTGAGTAACACAGGACCTTTAAGCCTCACGATCGTCATGCTACAGGTCTATCAGTGAGTCCTGCTGCTGGCTCACGTTTTGCCTTGAGCTGTTTTAAATGCGGTGCAGAGCAGAGGTGGTAGCTGTATGTCACTTCTCCAGTGGGCTGTCTCTTTAATGGCAGGAAGTCAGAGAAAGTCCCGGGAGAGGGCCTGAGAAGAGGAGAAAAAAAAAAAAAAAAAGCTTTATTTTTGAAGCTGTGAGACTTGAACTCCAGAATCCACTGGACTGAAATAACTTCTGGTGTTTGCATTTCTCTCAAACAGAAGTGGCTGGCTTTGAAGCAACACTTAACATTATAATTCAGTTATAGTGGTTTAGCTCGGGTGCAGGAGACTTTGTTTAATAGTTTAATCCTGGTTAAGTCTTGGTTTAGACCTGATTTAGAGGTGGTAATCCTCCAACTTTACACCTGCTTAGTCCTGGGTTACTTGTCTTAGCCCTGGTTGAGACCTGGTATAGTCCTGGTTTAGAACTGGGTCAGTACTGGATTAGTCCATGTTTAGTTTTGGTTTGAGTCTGACTTGCCCTGGTTTAGTTCTTCTGGTGTAGTACTTGTGTTGTAGTTTTAGTTAAATCCTGGTTTAGTCCTAGTTTAGTCCTTGTTTAGTCCTGTTTTAGTTCTGGGTTAGACCTGGTTTAGTTCTTCTGGTGTAGTACTCAAATCGTGTTGTAGTTTTACTTTAGTCCTGGTTTAGTCCTAGTTTAGTCCTGTTTTAGTCCTGGGTTAGACCTTGTGTAGTCCCAGTTTAGTCCCTGTTTTGGTCCATTTATTGTGCTGGTTTAGACTTGGTTTAATCCTGGTGGTCTTGGACTGTTATAGTTCTGGT